GATTCCTATCTAAGGAGTCCTTCAAATCTGTGATTGGATAGTTAATGATTAATTAATGGAAAATTAATCTGCACCTTTATCTGAAATAACTATGAGTTTGTTAGATCTTTGAGCAATTTTCATGGGCTTACATAAGAAAAATCAGTAGAATCTTCCGCCAGCTATCTTGGATACGCCCACCTACAGTATTGCCTGGAAGGCAGGAGCAGCTTCAGTTGCCATGTGTCACTCACTACACTAGGACTATGTAACTATGCTCCATGCACCATATTATACCTTCTGTATAGTGTTTGTACCTTCTGTGAAGCACTTTTATGTGTATTATAACTACAGTACTGTGCTTCCAAATGCCCCTATGCAGCCTCCTGGTGATGCTACAGCTAGCAAGAAATGGGAAAAGTTTCAACTTTATAAACTACTGTATGGTAAAATGGTAAAAATCCAACCACCTATTACCCAACCACAGATAGCTGTAACACACAAGGTGGAACCAGTGTTATTTGTCAAGACCATTTTAATGGTCATTTAGAAGACATTAAGTACTGCAAACTGGGGACAGAATAACAATTAAATACTAACTGTAAATATAAACACGACACCACCAGCAGGACTGCATCTGCGTCTTACCATTGCATCGCTGGTTCAATGCCCAGGTCAGATGTGACAGATGTTATCCACTGTGATCCTACAAAGCATTGCAGGTTTTATCCAGGCAGTCTGGTTTCCTTTTGTACAGTACTAACACTGACAATGGAGGTCATATCAAAGAACAGAATGACTGTCTGAATGACTAGTAAGCTGACAAGTGATGGAAATGATAAATTAGAAAATTACTGTCTAGTTATCAACTGTGGTACAATACTGCTGAAATGTGTTTTAATCCATTTTTATTGGAAATACTGTGCCCTATGTAATTATTTTGTTCAGAGTGAAGTAAAAATAAACCAAGTACCTGTAATTTGTATTTAGGACTTGGCATTAGAATATCACATCTGCCAATACAGCGTAGGAGCTGCCAATGAACTAGTCTTTTATTTGAAATAATGTTTTACTTTGTTATTACTTTATGGCTATTATTTTTTTTAATGTAGTGATTATTGCTAGAATGTCATGAAATAATGGCAGAATTAGGTGTGGGGTCAATTATATGGCAGTTGAACAAGCCATTAATTGAAAGTTGGTGGTCAATGGAATGTTGGATAAGAGAGCATCTACCGGTATATGTACTGTATACTGTACAGTGAACCTCATCAATATGATTTCATTAGAGAGAATGGAAAGATAACGTAACATGTTTTTACAGTATATGGTGAGTAAGTTGAGGGATTGTGATAAGTGTCAATACACACAAGTGAGATGCTTTGACAAAGAGAGCTAACTGCTCTAAGACCCAATGGCAATGTCACAAGGCACCCCATTTCACTCACAAACTCATTGTTAGTAGCAGTAACCCAACCAAATCTTTATGGCAAACAATTACATAAGAATAATATGGCAATATAATATAAATATCTCCTCACAGCACATCTGTTTCAAACAACACACTATATTAATACTTCTCACAAAAATATTAGGAAAAGCATTTGCACAAATAACTTAATATGTTAATATCCCTTCCACCAATAAAATACTGCATCAATATCTTTCTTCAATGTAAACACACCAGAACTGACATGCTGTTTTAGTTCAACTTGGATGTAAACCTATAATGTACAGCAGTGTTATCTGTGTTGTTATTCTGGTACAGTATTGCAGTTTGGAGGGATACAAATGATGGAAAATCCCAAGTCCGTTCTTACAATGTTCCATATGTGTAGATGTTGAGTATTTCTACTTACTACTGTATGTTATAAATCAACTGAACAATCATCAAAGTTCACACAATCAACATAAACTTTTCTGTACTGTACTGTACTAGGCAATTAGATCAGGTTTTCTGTGTATATGAATATCAAAAGCCTTAATAAATGACAAGAGGAAATTTGTGCCTAAATAGACAGAGAAGGTTAAATAGGATTCATATTTAGATAAAGTTAAGTTTTCATATAGAGATTGAAGATTTTAAAAAGTTATTTGAATTGAGAATATGAGACTCTTAAGTGATGATAAGATGATATAAAAGTTTCATTTTAGCCAATGAACCAACCATCTATTTTGTTATAAAATATGTATTGCTAACATCTTTCTGTTCCTTTTTATCAGGATAACACTATAAAAATGCTGAAAAACCAACTACACATTAGCAAACATCAACCAATGACATATTATGAAAGACTAGCCTTAACAACCAGTAATATAAAACTAATAATAATCGTTATCACCCTTAATGACCTTATAAACATGATGTCACCACTAATAATTAGTAGTATGTGATGGATATGCAAAAATGTTGCCTTCAAGGACTTAATGGGGCATTAAACTAATCATTCCAACATCAAATGTTGGATTCCTTTTTCAAATATATTTCTGATTAGACAAATACTGTTTTTAATACAAATGAACAACTACAAAATTTCATGCTAGTAAAAAGTGTGCTGCTGTAAAGTATGTATACAGTATAAGCAATAAAAGTGTGTGAAAAAGCTAATTTGAAGGGATCAGGGCAGTTAAATGCTACTCACCACAGTTGACTATGATGTGATAAATTGCTGAGACTTATACAGTACTGTTTATCATTAAGTGATCTTGCACTCTTATTCTCTGATTCCCTCAGGTGCCAACAAATCCACCAATGTAGGAAGACACATTGTCAAATTATTGGTCATAAGACAGTGCCTTGTGATTAACAGCTTAATCAGCAAGAACTTATCTGATATTTATCCTCAATGAATATTACAAGGATTTGCTTTTGTCTCCCAATATTGACTGTGTATTAATTTTCTTTTCAAATATTACAAATAAATATCTGAAGTCAATCAATGTTAACTAATAAATATTTCCTGTCTGGCTGACACTACTAGAAAACACATAAGTAGTTTTATTAATTTCATTTTAATAGCAATTTTACTTTGCAAACTGGGTATTTAATATAAAACCTTGAAATATATTTTTCACACAAGGATACAGTGGCTTTGGATTATTTCATAAATTCACAATACAGTACTGTATACAAATTTATCAATGGTGTCAACAGTGAATGAGATGCTCTCTACATGATCTTTCTTGATGTTTTTACATAATTCTAAATGTAAAATAAATAAAAATAATTAATAGAAACAATCCACAGGTGTTATATATATATAATCATACAGTAGATCCCGCCACACCCGTAGATTTTTATTTTGTGATTTGCCAATCCATGGTCCATCGAATTGTGGTTCAAAACATTCATCATCCACTCAGATCCATGCCTTTTATTTTATGTTGCACTGGGAAATACTTAAAAACATTCTGGAAAATATTTCTTTGATGGAAATTTATAACATTGGATGGTATTCAAGCTTCAGGTATACAGTACTGTACATTGTATAATGCAGAAACTATGCTTCAAAATGTTGTTAAAAAATTGAAGTCCATGAAAGGTTAAGTGTATAAAGTACTGTTTACACATTAACAGTATAACTCCCGAGCCTTACATACAGTGTTTGGTTAATCTTCTTATCAGTAATATTACACAACACTGTAGTTGTGGTCAGATTTTCTTACAATTATCTACTTTATAGAATTGGTTTGTTGTTGGAAAGATAACTGCTGTTTACCTTCACTACCACTGCAACTCCATTGACTTTTCTGTAATTTGTAGAGACAGCTAAATATTTCAACATACTATTATAATTTTTTTCTGTTATAAAACATACAAAATAAAGCAGAAAGTTGGCAGAACAAAGATGCTAACACCATCACACCATTTTCAATTTACTCTCCTCACTCTTTCTCATCTCTCTTCCCTCTCCAATCTATTTTGCTGAGAGAAAAGAAGGAAGAGGAAGGTGCTTACCATATTCTCTCCTTGAGTAAGAAACCTCTCACTCCCCTGCCTCCGTTTCTTCTTCAATATCCTAGGGAGGAAGACGAGGAAGGAGGAGAGGAGAGTAAAGAAAAGAGAAAATTGGAGATAAGTTGGAAAGAGAGCCCCTCTCCCTCCACCATCAACCTCTCTCTCTTGTCCTCAGGAAAAAAGTGCAGTGAACTGTTATGCCAGTCACCTAAAGGTAAAGATGGGAACACAGCTGATCCATCAAGGAAAAGGTGCAGGCAGTAGCACTTCTTATGGCTCAGTGATGGGCGAGGCAGGTGTGTGTGTGTGTGTGTGTGTGTGTGTGTGTGTGTGTGTGTGTGTGTGTGTGTGTGTGTGTGTGTGTGTGTGTGTGTGTGTGTGTGTGTGTGTGTGTGTGTGTGTGTGTGTGTGTGTGTGTGTGTGTGTGTGTGTGTGTGTGTGTGTGTGTGTGTGTGTGTGTGTGTGTGTGTGTGTGTGTGTGTGTGTGTGTGTGTGTGTGTGTATTGTCTTTTGTAGCACCCATACAATTATATTAAAATGTCCATAATATTTTGCTTCAATTTTTATAAATTTATTTATAAACAGAATCTCTGCAACATTCACTAAACATAGTAAGTGAATATGATAATTACTTTTAGAATTCCAATAAATTTAGGGTAATATTTTCGGCCCCAGAACATAATCCATTATTTCCTATATGTGCCATTGATTTACATCTCACAATATTTATAATCCATGGGGTCTGTCAGGACCTGCTCCAGCAGATAATGTGGATTTACTGTATGTATGTGTGTGTGTGTGTGTGTGTGTGTGTGTGTGTGTGTGTGTGTGTGTGTGTGTGTGTTTATGTACTGTATGTGTTTCATGGGCATGTGTATGTGTCCATGTATGTGTCCATCTATATGTTCTGTGTGTGTGTGTGCATACGCATCATGTAGAACAACAACTATGATAAGTACATTTGTGCTTTTTGATACGCTTCTTTGATTTCATAAGGAAACCAGATTTAAGGCTTCATATAAAAATCTAATTCTGTGGGAGTACATGAAAAGGCCATGAAGAATCTGTTACTTTTTTGTTTTAATGATTATCAACACAGATTCTTTTCCAAGCACTGAGGCACACAGCAAAATACTTTTTTTTTCATTACTCATAATATGATTAAAATTTACTGAAACTAATTAATTTTTTTATTTTTTTTCCAATTGTTCACCATGGTTGACTGTTACTTTAATTCCTTTTGATTGTTTGGCTTCCAAATTATTAAACTTCTTTTATATTTCGTATTCATCAGTTTTATAAAAAATTAAACAACATTTGAAACATTTCATTCTATTAACTTTGGAATACCACCAACAGCATACCATTACAGTATATGCTAAATATAACATAGTGTTTAGGGTATATACATGTTTATCTTGAATATCACTACAGTACCTTAAAGTTTCAAAGTCAAACAGAATAATTTATTTTGAGAACACAATGTACAGTGCATTTCCTAGAGGTATGCCAATGGTGTCTCACAAGAATCTAGTAGTGTACAGTATAGAGAGTCCATGAACAATACTTGTTTCTGAAAGGCATAATATAATTTCACTGGTAAATTATTAAGTTTGTCACTTTTGGCTTTGGTGTTGTAAACAGATTTTAAATATGAAAGATTTGGTGTTATGATATTCAAAATTATTATTCTCTTAAAATTATTACCAAAAATTCTTCCACCACACAGCTTTTCATTTTAATTAGCTTCATCTTGATCCACGTAACTCATGCAAGCACTTCCTAACTGTAGGTTCAATATCAAAATTGGCAGTTTGCTTTCCTCATACCCTATCATTCTTTCAAATATTGTTAAGAGTTAGCTGAACATGTGTAGATGAAGATATCTTTTAACTTGTCCATCTTGTAAGCTAATCAGATAATTCATGTATCCACTGACCTTCCTTGGGAAATACAATATAAAAGCTACTTATCCTCTTTCAGACCCAACAAATTTTTGATGGTCTGTTGTGCTTTAGCAAGTGGTGCTTGTGCAGTAGGTGGTTCTTTTAGTGCTGAGTGAGGTAGGTTGAGGGCCAGAGGATCACGAAGCCTCTCCAAGTCACACTGTAACTCGGCCAAACGATTCTTGAGAACGTTGTACTTACCAATGTCCATCCCTAGTTTCTTGGCCCTCTTGTGGAAACAAAGCAGGAACTGTCTATCTCGAACCTCCGGTAAAACAAAGTCCTGTAAAGATTTGAAAATGTAATTCTTGGACAAATATTAAGGGAATTTATGTGAATCACAGAGTACTACCAAATTTTTTTTTTGTGGTTCATTTGGAAAACTGACTCTCACTAAACAATGACAATGATCCTATACTATAATTAGAAAGAGTCAACTGCCCAGGCTAATGATTTGAATTAAGACACTTTAATAGTCAGGCTCATTCTGTCAAGTTTCCAATGTAGACCAAAAATACTCATAAGGTGAGCTAGAGATCTATATTCATTATACATAACTTTCCAAACAACCTATTTCAAAAAACCTTTCAGGGAACATTAAAATTATCTCTGGAACCCACATCTGAGGAAACAAATGCCTTGTAATGCAAACACCAAGTCATCTACCCATCAGCTAACTACCACCTGAAAGAAAGGAAGGAAGAAAGGGGTTATAAAGAAAGAAATAGCATCTCCTAGCTGCTAATAAAACATCAGAGCAGGCAGAGACATCCAACCGACAGATTGTATGACTAGGAGCTGAAGGTCACTTGAACCTGAATGATGTTTTATTACTCACATGAGATCATGGAAAACATTTGTAATAGTCCAGTGACTGACTTATAGTTCTCACCTTTCTCACTGCTCCCAATTTACATGTGCTGCATTTGAGTAGCACACTCTACCTAGGAGTTTTAAATAAAATACCAGCAAGGTTTGGCATGCATATTCATGGATTATTCTGAATCGGTTATTTATTCTAAAAGTGAATCATGAGACAAAAGTTGTACGCTCATCAAAAAAAAAATAAAAAAAATAAAAAAAAACAGAAATAGATCTCTCACCTGTTTTGTGACGACGTAATAAGCATATGCTCCCATTGCTGTGCCATAAGTAACAAAGTATGTGACAGGTTCCATAATATCCCATGAATATTCCCACCATGTCAATCTTGCAAGAAATCCAAACTGGAGAGCCATATAACCTAATCCAGCCCAAGCTAAAATGGCTGTGCGTCGTTCAGCAGCTGCAACCAAATTTTCACGTTGCTGTTGAAAAATTTATAGATTTAGAGATATGACTACAGTGGATTCATACTGACACATGGAAAATATAGTCTAATAGTTACACACTTATATTAACACCCTGTACAAATATTCAGCTGACATATCAATTAAAACAATGACAAATTTTACATGACAGGTTACCATATATCACAAATAGATAAAAAATATACAGTATCTCTGATCAGTGTCATACTGTAGTTCCCATAAGACCACGGCTCACTACAGTGTACGTTATTCTTGCTATCCTATATTAGCTATCTATTAAATTTCCCTCTCAAACATATCTGAGGGAAAGGAACTAAGTACAGCCTCTCACATTTACCTGTCTACTAGAACACCTTCAACCAACAAGAACTTCTACAGTTACATGATTTACAATAGAAATATCATGCCTTGGTTATCAGTGCTATACCGATTAACACTGAAAATATGGTCAACTAAACAAATTAACTGCACTGTAATGTATTATAGTGTTAAGTATTTACAAGTAAATTGAACTGTACTCTAGTGACAATGAGATTCTGTAAATTATGACTGAGGATGTTGCTTGAATCTTAGAATAAGGTATACAGTACACTAAAACCTCCATAATTCTTAACTACATAATTTGTAATTTAATATAATTTGGATATTTAAAAAAATTCCAAATTGGCATCATATTCTTGAGCCCAAAAATGGTAAGATCAGAACACTTAAGAAGGTGCACACTAAGATTTCAGATTACGGAACTAGAGACACAAAATTCAACAACTAGGACTAATACTGTACAGTACACAAATCACCCCCCCCCCCTCCACTCCCCAGCTCCTCTCTACTCCTTAGAGAGGAGTCTGAAAAACGTAAGTTGTCAATTAGCATTGGTAGCTATAGTGCTTTGAGATCGCACACTACTTGTCCTACCTCACAACCCACTGACTTTCCATGGTTGGTTGTGAAATGAGCTCTCAGGATCAATCTCTTAGCTACTGTAAAATCTAATGACTCAAAAATATGAGTACAGAAGCTAGTTGCTGCAATGAGGAGGGATGTGGAAAGAGAACAGTCTTTGACTTACAAACTGCCTATAACAGTTACCTAAAGTTCCCTGTACAGTAAAGCAACATATCTGTCAATCGAAAAGCTTGAGACCAAGAGGCTTCCGTAAAGTCGATACTATCATGAACACTTGTCTTAAGTAAGCAAGTAATAAACCAGACTACTTGCATCAGTTTAGTTATATACTAATAGCTTCTGTAAATACCTGTACAGTATACAGGCACTCCCCGATTTATGAAGATCTAATTTATGAAAATCTAAATTTACAAAATAAAAAAATTGTCCCATGACAGTTACAAAAAAGGTCCCATGTTTCAATTTACATAAACAATGTCTGAAGTTACTTTTTTTTTTCATAATTTTTGCAGCAGGAAGATGTTGAGGTGCTGACATAGGTCTCTATGCTTCCTGTACCAGACCTGGTGAGTTTGTAAAGACTATTAAACTAAAAACAACATGGCTCACTGTCATGAGTAGGGTTGAAACTAGCGGTTAGCAGTTATTCATGAAGTAACATAGAGAACCTTTGTAATTGGCTTAGATCTCTGTTGCTAGCTGAGGTCCAGGCTTCCGACAGCTGATTGGCAGAGGGTGGCAGGAGGTCGCAGTGTGAACTTCACTGGAGGTGAGAGAGTATTGTATCAGGTTGTAGGATTATCCAACCCCTCGCAGGCTGTGTGTGTGTGTGTGTGCTAGTGTGGATTATACCCGGCCAAGAAGCCTGTTGGTGGAAGTCTCAAGTGAGGAACTGGTAGAGAATACAGTAAGGGTATTGTCCACTTTGAGTTTGCGAGCTATTTGTGGGACCAGTTAAGGAAGGGGAGGAGTAATTATGTCCTCCAGTGAAGAACCACCATTGGCCTTGGCTGTACTGTTAGATCCGTTTAAGTCAATGTAGTAATATCTCTGTTAGCCAGAATACCTTTTGGCTCAAACTTTCCAATAGATGGAATTTAAATTTGCTAAGAATTTTGCCAGAGAATTTCTCTCAATTCTGGGTTTGGGAATGATTTTCCGAGGTTGAAAACGAGGCGCATTTTCTGGAAAATTCAGAAAAAATTCCGGAAACTCTCCATATTTTCCCTCGGGACTAGGAGCAAATTCCGAAGATGAAATAATGTGCATTGTCTGAAAAATTTGCAATTTCTGGAAAATTCCAAGAAACTTTTCCCAGTACCTGGAAAATTTCCAGGGATGGGGGATTTTTTCCGGGTTTAAGAGAGTCATCTCATTACCCGGAAATCTCTCATTCCTGGAAGTGCTCTGCAACAATTGTTGCGGCTAACGGGGATATCACTGTACAGTACTTAGGTGTTGTCTGTGGTTTTACCATGTTATATGGCTAGGGCCTGGTATGTTATCAGTTGTCCTTCTATATGATCGTTGTCATGTTATACATGTTGGTCATGTTATGTGGTGAAATGAGTTTTCTGTATTTTGTGACTATAGTATGTTACTATTGTATGTTATATTTAGACAGTACAAATTTTCTTGGTCAATAATGCAGTTCTTCTGTTACTTCGAATTTGAAGTCGTGCCATGAATAAAAATGTCAAGCTGAACAGTATCAGCGACATCCGTGGATTCATTCATACATAAAGAATAAGACTCAAATCTATTCATTGTTCCCAATGTTTTCTTCTTTGTATTGTCTGCCATGTCATCAATCTTTCGAGTAACTGTTCACCATGAGAGACTAATAGAAAATAATTTATTCTTTTCAGGACAAAAAATTCTGCTGCAATTACAAGATACTCTTCTGCAAATGGCTCGAGTCATTTAATTCACTGATAGCATAACATACTGTTGTGTGGCTTACAACATTAGCATGAAATTTTTTTAATAATTCTTGTTGTCTACTGTACCTCTTCATCATGAAGTCACTTTGGCCTTTAATTTTATCATATTTGCCTGTGTGCTTTGAAGTAATGTATAATGATGGCAAATGAAGTATTCTTTCATCACTGCAACAGATTCTGAACATATCAAACATACTGGTCTGGCTTTAAATTAACAAAAAAATAATTTTTTTGTCCAATTGGCATTCAACTCTCTGCATTCAGTATCAACCGTCCTCTTCTTTATAACAGACTGTGTCATATTGTCTTAAAATCAATACCAATGCTTTGATACACTATGCACAAATAACTATGCAGCACACAACCTTTTTGATGTCTGACTTACGTACAGCAGACTTGAACCCAATGGTGAGTAAAGTCTGAATGTGTACTCCACATAATGCAGTGGTACTTGTACTCACATGAACAGAGCAATGTACTCAATAAAATCCACAGATTATTTTGCTGGTTGCTTAACTCCGGTTTGCTTATAAAATTGAAGAAAAAAAAAAATAAATTTGTATTATCTTTATTTACTTTTAAAATTAAAATGTTCACCACTTTAAAATACTTTTACTTGAGGGTCAAACTTATCTCATGGATGCCAAGTACTTGTGGGTTGCTCGGCAGGCCAGACATTGCCTGTGGGCCGTATTTTAACCACCCCTGATAAGGCTACAACTCAATATTATCCATTAACACATAAATACTATCATGATTGGTAATTTATATAAATCCTGCAAGTAGCCCTAACAATAGTATAAGGTCCCAAGCCAGAGCTCTGTTGAACATGATTGTCCTCTGTAGAACCAGCAGTGCACAGGAGAGGATGGAACCCCCTGTGCTGGAACTGGCATGAGAGTCCCATGTTCTATGATTGAGGTAGATAAAAATGGCATGTACGGTGGAATCTATATAAGCCATATAATTCCCATGCCTTGACTATGCAACATCCACATCAGTCAGAAACCCTTTATAAGATATCCAGGTATGGTTGGAAAATGGTCACCATTGTATCACTTGCCACTCTGCTCAGGAGAATGGTAAGATTGGTAAGTGGGGACTGTATGTGATATCATTGGTTATCCATGAAGTTATAGATTATAAAATTGATTATAACAGAAATGAAAAGATGGAAGAAAATTTTACCAAAGTAGAAACGACTGGTTACTATAATTCATTTTTCCATATACATTACCTGTACCAAGTCTCATGATATTGCACTGTTAGCTGCTTGAGAACATGATCATACAAGCTTGATGACAGACATACAGGCAAACAAACAAATGAACTGGTTGACCACAGCCATATTGGTAATAAACATTTTAATGAAAAGCCAAAGAATGTTGTTATGATTACAGTCACATGAGCTTTCCCGATCTGTACACAGTATTTCTAAAATTAATTCAACTCTATATGTACAATGCTATGCTGATATTCAAACTCATTGTTTCAGATTAATGTCCAGCCACTACTATTCTCCATGAAAAAAAAACTTGAAAATAAACAATGAATAGATACAATACAAAATAATCACTAAAATATATTACAGTAATTGTATTTAGACAGACTTAACCACCGTTAAGTCTATAATGATATACAGTATTTATTGATAATTTAGAGAAAAAGTAAAGTGACAGTAGTTAACTTAAAGTAGTAAAACTAAGTGATGTTTTAACAGAACATATACCTGTATATAAGTTCTGAGATGCACTGCTTGTGACTCCATTCTTGCATAATGCAAACCAATCACGTTCTTTTGAGCTGTGGAGAATTATTTTTTTTTTTTACCAACGAATTTTAAAATTATGAACTAACAGTAAATAGAACACAACTAAAATAGTTTAGTTTACCTTTTCAAGTGGAGCTAATTGTGATTTTAAGTCTTCAATCTGTGCCACAATATCTCGTTCCTTCATCACTTGGTGTTGGTCCACATTAAGAGCCATATAAAGCTTATTCACCAGCTGGCGGACATCTCCCATGTCACTTAGCTCTTCCTGTGTGTGTAAGGACAGTAGCTTAGTTAATATATTTGAGCATATTCTTGAAGTACAAAGATGTGAAGGAATGCTCCTATAATACCTTTTGACAGAACCTAAAGTCAAGCAGCTTTTGATGAGTCAACTGGAAATGGCCCCAGCACATCATCATCTTGCTGTTGCTTTATTGCTTCTGTTGTCTTCCTGCCTGGCATGAACCCCAACTGCATTTCATTAATGTCCACTCTCTCCCCCATCAACTTCAAAATCATTCTTTCCACAACTTTTATAACCTGACTGAACAGTTTCCTGACCCTATACAGTAGTTTCTGTGTTCAATTGCATCATTTTACCCTTGTAAGTGTTCACAAGCATTCTTCAGCCAGTCAGCTGGAAGAATGGGCAATTCAGTCACCATTGTCATGGCAGCATTGTCTGATGCTTACAACATTTCTATAACTATTCCAGAGTCACAAGTAGCCTTTCCTTTACTGTATATTTCCTTCGCCTTTTTGTTAATAAATTTCTTCACACATATTATCTTTCAGTCCTTGGGTATGATACCTGTGCTGATTCTCGTTACCAACAACCACATTTTTAGTCAGATCTCACTCACTGTTAACCAGTAACATTCTTGTCTCAACATACTTGTATTATTTGTCTTGCTATTCTGTACACCTCACCTATAGCAGCCACACCATTCAGCTTATCCACAAATGCATCTTGTTCAAACTTCTTAGCCTTGTAAAAACTTTCTTCTGGCCCTGTGCTTGGCCTTCAGGTACTCTTCCTTATCACCTCCCATCTTCCAGGGATTATACAATCTTCTTTTCTCCTTTATCACTATGCCCACTTCATCATTCCACCATCAAGTTACTGCATGTCTGGCTGCATCCTCTGTCCTTCCACAGACCTTGTTAGCCACAATTAACAGCCCACCCTTTAATGTGGCCCGGGAACCCTAAGTTATTCTAAAGTATTAATCCTTTTTGGATACACCAATTACCATTCCTTTCCACCTGGCAACATCAGCCTAAATTGAGTGGTACTCAGTGCAGGAGTTGCCGAGCAGCCCAATCAGCACTCATCACAAAGTAGTGGTGGCTCCACCCTCTATGAAGCTGAATGAATCTTGATCAGCCAACACATCACACAGACAGTTCCAACTGATTAATCATAAAACCAAGGGAAGAGTGAGGGTTTCCAAGCGGTCTGGTTTTGGGCTTCATCAGATAACAGGGTTTCTGGTTATCATTCTTGAACCAGGCAGCTCTTGTAATCTAAATCCAGCTTCAATGAAAGGAAGGAGGCATAGGCACACCAAAACTCCAGGATCACACAGTTAAACACTCCACACAAAGGTGTACTCAGTGTATTCACAAGGTATAGAATTCCAAACTCCCCGACTCTGTTACCAAATGGGTCTAGTGTTATCCTGGGCTCAACCCGATATAATAAGAGTCCAGAGCCCCATCAGAAGTGGTTATATGTCATACCAATGATGTTTTGTTAAAAATAGTTCATAGCAAGTGAATCATATGCATACCATACAAGTCAGACATAAAAGAATGAAGTAATAAAGAAACTGAAAAAGTAAAAACAAAATTATTCTTTAACACTAACAATAATTTCCTTTCCAGCGATCCATTACAGAATCAAAACATTAACCTACACCTCTGAATAGACTGGGGAAAAAAATTACCCTAGAAAATCCCAACATGAAACTTGGGATATGGGTAAAAATTTGTCTTTTACTGAACTTCTAGATCAAACCTAGAAGAGGAAAAAGAAAAGGCTGTGGAATAAATCAGATGAAGGAAACCAAACTAAGCCAAAGTGATTCCCAAAGGGGCCAGACAGGTTATTAAGATTAATATGGATACAGTATACCCAACCCTATACTCTCCCGCACACAAGAAGGTAAAAGGGCTGCCATATATTATCCAACTCTTAAGTTAAGTACTTTTTTATGTTGCGCACCCATTCATAGTTGGCTCAACAGAATGTGCCAGGACCAACCCCATACTCTGGGAATGTGCAGTAACACAAGCCACTTGGCTGGGGTCTAAACTTAAGTGAGTTAGTGATAGGAAGAGTATCCAGACATAAAACTTGCTCTAAATTTGCATGATGGTAACTGGTCCACCATGCCATTCAGGTAACCACGGATAACCCATGCAAACAGGGAAAATGGCTCTAAACAGCGATGATGATGATGACACTCCATGACATACCAAGGTAAGCTTCTGTTCCTCTGGCACTACCACTCGGTAGGAGATGTCGTTGATGATCAGGTCAAAATCGGTCATGAGCAGAGATTCGATGCTGTCCGAGGTGGAGATTCGTACTCCATCTGCAAAAATTGGTACGGATTAAAGTAAAAATGATTACACTGTACTTTTATTTATAAATGTCAATGTTAAAAAGAAATAAGCTATTATAACACTGAACTCTATCTTCCCTACCCAAAGTACTGTACTGTATATCTGACTTCAAATCAAAGACTTTGTACAGTAATTAAAAGGACTTCAACATTAAACAGTATCTATAACACAATAAGATATTTTAGGTTTCACTGTTTCCAGCTACCCATTACAAGTTTTTATATTTCAATCCAAATAATACAAAGCCACTGTAATACACTTATCAAATTTTGCATCAATACAATTATAGGTTATGAAGTAAACATTTGGATAGTTCTATATTGTAGTTTTGTAAAGTGGGGTTGGCATTTAGCACTATAGACTGTGACCAGGCTGTGATGTGTAGCGGCTTAAAATTATAACTGACTTGGGTTACCATTCACTACACCAGGGCTCTGTGACATCAGCAATTACACTCTGCTCACAAAGTTTACTGTCTGGTATATTATTCATCTATGGTACAGTACAAGTGCTTTGAATTGTATCATCTGCGGCTTTTTCTTTTCTGTTTTTACCCATTTTCATAGCTTACTGATATTACAGTTAGTGCAATAGATGTGCTCACTGGAGGTCATATCATCCGATCATAATCTCAAGAGCCATTGTATTTATCTTATAGTCCTGTGAAACTGTTGAAGTGGTACAGTAATTACATTTGACGCCATGTCCACCACACAAGTGCAGTACTGTAGTGCATTTTTTAATGTAAACACAATCAATCTTGAACACGAGAACTGTAATTTTATGAATGTTTTCAAGGTAAAGTTGATATATCTCTCCCCTGAACACCATATTTCTGTATTCCACTTCAAAATGTAACTGGTCTCGGAGTTTTATTTTGGGCTTTTCAAGGATGTTCTGATACTGTCATGACTTGTAAATACAGTACTGGAATATTTATGTAGTGTACGTTATCATCGATGACATATAATAAAATGAGACTCTAGGAGACAAGAACAGAACCTAAAATTTAAGGTGGGAAGGAGAGCAATACAAGAGAGGAATGGAGGTGAGACATGCAATAAGATGGGAGGTGAGACAGGTGATAAGATGGGAGGTGAGACAGGTGATAAGATGGAAGGTGAGACAGGTGATAAGATGGAAGGTGAGACAGGTGATAAGATGGGAGGTGAGACAGGTGATAAGATGGGAGGTGAGACAGGTGATAAAAATGAGAGGTGAGACAGGTGGGACAGGTAAGAGTAACCTACCTGTAGTTCTGAGGACGACCCTGTCAATGCCGTGGTCCTCGTGGGTCAGCTGATGCACCAGGTCCTGCACGGTGTGGGTGACGGGCCGTAGAGTGAAGCGACAAAGGTCTCGCCGGGAAGGCAGCGGCACTGTCAACTGTGGCAGCCCATTACAAACCTCCACCGTCACACCTGCAACATAATGTAACATATTACACAACAGCACCGTCACATCTGCGGGATAAACTGCAACACACGCCATCGTCACACCTCCAAGAAAAGACAACATGTTACGTACCAATACTACAATGCCTGTAACACAATATATCATGTTAAAGACAGTCATCGTCACATCTGTAACACCATCACAGTCTGTGTTACTACGAGCACAGATAGTTACAGATGGCATAGTTTGTGTTACTGTCAGCATAAATAGGCTGCATTTATTACTCAAGTTATGTTTTCTGTTTTTGTCTTGGAGGAGGTAAACATTTTCACACCTAGAGTAGTTTAAAACCAAACCTAACCTATGACCATAAACTCGGCCCATCATGGAAAACAAGTTCTCCTATTTCTATAATGCTATTTTTTTTCCCCTATATGATAGCAGTGACAGTAATGAGTGAAAACTGTAATTAAGAGAAAGTTTTGATTTAGTGGCTGTGTGTGTGTGTGTGTGTGTGTGTGTGTGTGTTTGTGTGTGTGTGTGTGTGTGTACCTCTAGATGACTCATACAACTATACTTTGTCCTATGCCAGTTTAACTTTCTCTTCTGATGACCTGACTTATTACCTCCATGTCTGTATTACCTCCATGTCTGTATTACCTCCAAGTCTGTATTACCTCCATGTCTGTATTACCTCCATGTCTGTACCTCCATGTCTGTATTACCTCCATGTCTGTATTACCTCCATGTCTGTATTACCTCCATGTCTGTATTACTCCATGTCTCCATGTCTGTATTACCTCCATGTCTGTATTATATTTCAAAACTCATATAAAGAATATTAAATATATTTTCCAGATAAATTTAATTTTAAAACACATAATTCAATCTAATATAACAGCGAGAAAGTGTGGGGGAAGTGAAGTGTGGGGGAAAGTAAGTGTGGGGAAAGTAAGTGTGGGAAAGTGTGTGGGGAAGTAAAGAAGTAAGTGGGAAAAGTGTGGGGAAGTGTGGGTGGGAAGTAAGTGTGGGGGAAAAGCAGTGTGGGGAAGTAAGTAAGGGAAGTAAGTGGGAAGGGTGGGGTGGGGAGGGTGTGGGGGAGGGGAAGTGGGGGAGGGGGGGGGGGGGGGAGGGGAGTGGGGGAGGGGAGGTGAGGAGGAAGTAAGGCGTGGGGGAAAGATAGGGTGTCACCTTCGGGCTTCACCTCACCTGTGTTGTACTACCTGACGTTTCTGCCCGCCTGGAACTAAACAGGAAGCAGCATGACATCACACACATGTAACCTCATCCCCTATGACTCATTCATTCGCCCCTGGCTCCTTTGGCTCCTGTTACACCTGCTGCTACCACTACCACACGTGCGGCACCTGTGGGTCGTTCATACCGCCAAAAGTTGCGTAGTTGCGTATATGTCCAGGTGAGTCTGATAATGTTTCATGAACTCTGACACCCTTTATATATTTCCGAACGTTTGAGACACCTCTGGACAATGACCATCACCACACCTCTACAGTCATCACCTTACTACCATCACTGCCCCCCCCCCCCTACACACACACTACCCTGCAACCATCACTGCTCCACATCCACCACTGTTTCAATTCATCAAAACTCCACATCCCAATATTCATCCTCTTCAATCCATACTCTGTTAACACCACAGCACCAAATCCATCACCATGCTGCTGGTGACCGTGAGACAGGTGGTCCTCGCAGCTGGGGGAGTGGGGGGGGGGAGCACCAGGCCAGTAGGAAGTGTGTGTGTGTGTGTGAAGACGAGGAGACGAAAGCACAGCAGGAGTGTGACGGATGGCCGCGGCTTATAGTTCTGTAAACCACACAGGTAGCCTAAAAATAGACTTCCGTGTAGCTACATTAGAAGAGGTCTGTACAACGTAAGAGGAAAGGCGGCCACTGAGTTTCTACCTGACCACAGACATGCCAAGGTCAGCAGCCTCCTTGTGTGTCAACAGATGTACGCTAACACACGTGCAGGCAGGGAGAGGTCCACACCAACTCTGAAAGAATTAACCAACTACCTACAAGAGATCCTTAAACACTAAGAGCTGAGCTAACAATATAAACATCTCCAAAAAACACAGCAGGAGCGTGTGTTGTGAGGACTTTCTGCACCTGACTGAACAAGCTGGTAATATGCAACGACGAAGTTAATGGTGTGAATTCAGGTGTCAACAACTACAGACCTCACAACTCATTAATTACTGGATACGAGGCCTCGAGTCTCCTTCATTGGTAAGGGCGTGTATCATGTAGCGTGAAAAACACTTCGGGTTACCTTACAACAAAGTGCACCAACATATACTGTACATCACACGCCTTCTGTCCTCGGGCACTCTCAATCCCACTTACAAATGGATACTTAGCCTTACAAACTTGGAGAAGTAAAGATGGTCGAGTGCAGTGCTTGGCCACGCTGCCTACTTGTATACAGAAGGTTTAGTAATGAATTCTGTACCCATGATAATGTTTAAGCAGTCATGCCTAAAGGAGTCATTTTAGTGGAGACAGTCAATTGACCTTTTGTCCACACATTTTAGCAAGGGCATCAAGATAAATAGATTGATAGTATATTAGAGTCAGTGGATTAACTAGAACTGTTGTATGGGGAAGAGAGTTTAGCCTTGAGGTAAGAGGAAGAAATTGTACTTGAGGCAGCCACGACCTTTGTGAGCGGGATCCATAACAACTTGATCTCAACCCTTAATAAGTGCGATTTGCTGCGTCTGGTTTTGTGAGATTGAGTACGTGGTAGTTAGTACTTAGGTGAGACTGAGTACGTGGCGCTCGGTACTTAAGTGAGACTGAATATGTGGCACTTAGTACTTAGGTGAGACTGAGTACGTGGCGCTCGGTACTTAGGTGAGACTGAGTGATGATACGATTGTCTGTGGTAATAACTGGTATAAAATGCGTGAAAGTACGGAGTAGATGTCTAATTGGTGTCTCTGGATGTACTCTAGTGTGTATACGAGTACTATTGGGCTAGATCATAACAACAACACATCCCGGTCAACGTTGAGAGAGCCGTCAGTAGATAGATAGTAACTTGTGATGTTTTTAGTTTGGAGGTGTTAAAAGTCCAGGGCAGGTGAGTTTAGAGATGTCAGAGAGACCTCACACGCAGAGCTGAACGAAGAACCAACTTGGTATTATATCCTGAAGTTTGGGATTTACCTTTAATTAAGCGACGTTATGGAGACAATGTTATCAAGATCACTTAGGAGGAGGCCAGGAAAGAGGGGGGTGGGGGGGTTAAGGTTATTATGAGGTTATTTTTTTTTAATGCCTCACTCACCTGTCAAACCCTTAAATGTTTCACCTAATGACCACATCCTGTAGTCACATTCCAGTATAACACAGCCCCCCACCCCCCTGTTCTCTTACCCAGTAATACTTTTTCCTCCCTGCTGCCACGCCCTGCTGTTACACCCACTGCCACATCCTGCTTTAGTCACCCCTGTCACACGTACTGTCTCACACTCCCGTCATATTAAGCTGTCTTACGTGGCTGTCAAACCCATCTGTCTCATTCACCTGTCCTACACACCTGTCCCACACCCTAATGTATTTCCCTTCTGCCCCACCCAGCTGCCCTTTCCTGCTGACCTACCCCGCTGCCTTTTCCCCCACCCCATTGCCCTTCCCGACTGCCCCACCCCATTGCCCTTCCCGACTGCCCCACCCCATTGCCCTTCCCGACTGCCCTACCCCGCTGCCCCTCCCGGAGTTCCACTTTTTCTCCCACAAGGTCGACTGTTGACTTATGAACAGAATATTAACAATACTATTATCATGTTTCCCTCGTTATCCTCGCTATTCCCTCCTCCAACATTCTTATATACGTCCTTCTTTATTCTCTTGTATCTTATTATTGAATTATCACACTCCCCTCCTCGTTTCTTTACCTTCATTTGTTATAAGCTTCAATTTTATCTGTAATCATCAGTTCTCTTAATTCTTTCACGGTTTTTGTTGTTGTTGTTGTTGTTGTTTTTGTCGTTGTTTTTGTTGCTTTCTCTCTTTTTACTCCTGTCCCCCAACACCACACCACACCACACCACACCACACCACACCACACCACACCACACCACACCACACCACACCACGACAGGGTATATACCAAGTCATGTCAAAATAATACCAGAAAATACCAGTTCACCCAAAGACATGTCGGGACACACAAAGCCACCGACACACGGGGACATGTCATGACACAAGACACCGTGACACGTGAGAACACTTCAGAACACACCAGGAATGTGAGACACACCAAGGCATGTCCAAGGACTCGAGGTCATGTCAGAACACACCAGCTGACGTCAGAACACACCAGTTGACGTCAGAACACATCGGTTGACGTCAGAACACACCAGCTGACGTCAGAACACACCAGCTGACGTCAGAACACACCAGTTGACGTCAGAACACACCAGTTGACGTCAGAACACACCAGCTGACGTCAGATCACTCAAACATGTCAGACACACCTGCACATGTACCGGTAAGTTTAAGACACGTCAGATTACACCGCCCATATCATGACACACTGGGACATGTCACATCACTCCAGGACAACATTAGGGCATGTCAGCTTACACGAAACCATATCATGACACACTGGGACATGTCACATCATTCCAGGACAACATTAGGGCATGTCAGCTTACACGAAACCATATCATGACACACTGGGACATGTTACATTACTCCAGGACAACATTAGGACATGTCAGCTTACACGAAACCATATCATGACACACTGGGACATGTCACATCATTCCAGGACAACATTAGGGCATGTCAGCTTACACGAAACCATATCATGACACACTGGGACATGTTACATTACTCCAGGACAACATTAGGACATGTCAGCTTACACGAAACCATATCATGACACACTGGGACATGTTACATTACTCCAGGACAACATTAGGACATGTCAACTTACACCAGACCATGTCATGACACACTGGGACATGTTACATTACTCCAGGACAACATTAGGCCATGTCAGCTTACACCAGACCATGTCATGACAAGGTAATACACACCTAATACAATAATAACAAGCGGGTACACAAAGTGGTCACGTGTCTCGAATTGCTCTTCCTGTTGCTCTTGTTATTCCCGGGTTGACGAAGACGAAGACGAAGAAGAGAAGAACACTGATGCTGCTCACTAAACAAGGGAGTCTGTGGCCAGGATATGAACCATTTTATACACCTTAGCACCGTCACGAGAGGTTCAAGGACAGATGAACATATTTGAACCTTAAGGAACTGTGACGGAGATAAATATGATCCCAGAGTTTAAAATACAAAGAAGTTAATAGGAGACATTACACATTTACTAGCACACCTCGTCTCTACGGTGCTTAGTTTAATGTCACCATTTTTATACATATGAAAAAGTGAGAAAAGGTAAGTCTAATGAGGGTTAATTTAGTTGATGAAAAAGGAGAGTATTTGTGTAGTTACTAGGGGGTTGGGGAGGCTGTGGGGGAGGGGGGGGATTAGGTCACTTTTGATACGGATGAGAGGAGTAATAAATATATGTAGTGTCATAGCCATTTTTAAGAGATGATATTTTTTTTTAGATCGTTTTTATGATCTAGTCTCCCTCTTCCTCCTCCTCCTCCTCCGACTGGGATGAGGTGGGGGCGAGTCTCAAGCCCCCCCCCTCCTCCTCCTCCACCCCCTCCCTCCCCAGTCGGTAAAAAGAACACACTCACCTACACCACAAATATTTATAAGAACTTTAATGATGGGGACTTTATTCGTTGTGTGGTGATTAAGGTGGATGGGTGTGAGTGTGGGTGTGGGTGTGTGTGGGTGTGTGTGTGTGTGTGTGTGTGTGTGTGTGTGTGTATCACTAGCAGAACGGACCGGTGCCTTGGTTAGGTTCTGTTAAAATGTAAGTTAACACCGAGCAAGTTGTGGTACGAGTTTTTCCACGTGGTGTAAGTGCGTCAGAGAACAGGGAAAAAAAAGTTACTCGAATAACTGCGTAAGAAAAGAAAAATATCTTTTAATAATAATAATAATAATTTGGTATATTTGTTATGTGATTTTACTGACAAGGTGAAAAACTGGACTGGGGTTATGAATTAAAGCTGCCACTGTGCTGACCTATGCCATCACCCAATAACAACTTATCATGCGCAAGGCCACAACAGGTTAGGGGCCACAATGGACTCAGTGTCATGCAATAAACAGAAACATTATACTATACAAAAATCAAGACTGACATCAAACTACCATCTTCCAGACTAATGGTACAGTAGTCTTAGCCAAGCGCCAACAACACACACAAGGCCGCACTCTTCAAGATAAACAAAGGAGACAGAACCAACATTTTCCACAAGTGAATGTCTCGTTGCGACCACCGGGACGAGTAAGAGAGGAGTGTAGCATCAAGGAAGGGGGCGGAGATGCTGTCACGGTGTACGCTGCCAGCAGGGGAATGCCCCAAGGAACGAGACCTTGAGGGAAGGGTGTCCAGGATCACTGCACACTGGGAGAAAAATGTATCATGCTGAGTGTTACGGAGCATCCTGGAGACTGTCCAAGTATGAGTGTCCGTGTGTGCTGGAAACTCCCTGGAAGCAACATCGTGAGACAGAATAAACGAGCAAGTTAGGTTCACTGCGCCTCAGAACGGAGACTCGGATGAGGACAAAGCGTAGTTTAATAAGTGTTCCGGAACGTGGTTTAAATGTCCTAGGATGTGTTGTGTGTGTGTCGGCCAACATCCCGGAATGTGTTAGGATTTAGGGACATGTTTGTACACCAACCACATGTTTGGTACACATCCCACATATTGTGTCTAAACGCCTCATTATATAACAGGTGAGAATTTTGACGCAGACAAGGACGAGGCGAAGTTTATTGACGTGACTCTGACGGCGACGCCCCAGGGAGTGTAGTGTCCCTGTCAAGGTGATCATGCCCCCGTCCCCTGTCCCCTCGGGTCTTTGGCGTCAGCGTAACCAACCTTAACACTTACTTCTGGTGGGTGGATGGGTGGTGCCTACTGCAGGTACTGTACTAACGAGATCACTACCTCCTGATGGATGGTGGTAAGAGGTGGTACTGGTAGGTGATGGTGGGTACCAATGGGTATCCAAACTGGTAGCCAACGGACCCCAAAATGGCTAGGGAAATATCTGACCCGAAATCCTGAGTACAGTATAACCTAACCTAACCTAACCTAACCTAACCTAACCTACCAATAACACCCAACACAAAACAGCGCCATAATCCGGTAGGTGGTAGCCATAACCTTGCATATATCAACACCAGCATCATAACACGCCCTCTAAAAACTGGTCAACATCTTGACCCTGAGCCACGGACGCCCTTAAGTTCCGTTTCGACCTTAAGAGCCGCGACACCACCCCCAAAGGAGGAGGGGAAATTTCTCGATATTATAACTTGCTTGTAGTGACGTCAGTGCTATTTCCCCCCCGCACATCAGACTCCGTTCGTCTTAGTCTGCCACAGATCCTCTTACCACACAGACATCATCACCCGGAAGTAGTCTAGATAACAGGTTATATTCTTTATCAGCAGAGGATATGGTTGAGGGCTTTATGTAAGGTCGCCCCCTATCACCACCACCACACTGTTCACCTTGATGTGTGACTACTGGAGACAACAAGAGAGCGTGGCAGTCACAACAAGACGGGGAAAAACTATGGGAAACTTTTGGTAATTAACGGAGCAACACCAGGGTTATCGCTAAGAGTGGTGTAATCACCCTGTTAGTGCAACCTTAGTACAGGGAACGAGGGACTGGCTGGTAGTAAGGGGGAGGGGTGTAAAGGGGGAGGGGTGTAAAAGGGGGAGAGGAGTGAAGGGGAACAGAGGAGAGGTCAAATAGTTAAGGAAAGATAATTTTAAGGGATAGGGAGAAGGGATGGGGTGGTGTTGTGGACGAGAGGGTGGTGTTGTGGACGAGGGGGTGTTGTGGACGAGGGGTGGTGTTGTGGACGAGGGGTGATGTTGTGGACGACGAGGGGGACGAGGGGGGGTGTTGTGGACGAGGGGTGGTGTTGTGGACGAGGGGTGGTGGACGGACGAGGGGGTGGTGTTGTGGACGGGTGGTGTTGTGGACGAGGGGGTGGTGTGGACGAGGGGTGGTGTTGTGGACGAGGGGTGGTGTTGTGGACGAGGGGGTGTTGTGGACGAGGGGGTGGTGTTGTGGACGAGGGGTGGTGTTGTGGACGAGGGGTGGTGTTGTGGACGAGGTGGTGTTGTGGGACGAGGGGTGGTGTGAGGGGGTGTTGTGGACGAGGGTGGTGTTGGACGAGGGGTGGTGTTGTGGTTGTGGACGAGGGGTGGTGTTGTGGACGGGGTGGTGTTGTGGACGAGGGGTGGTGTTGTGTGTGGACGAGGGGGTGGTGTGGTGTTGTGGACGAGGGGTGGTGTTGTGGACGAGGGGTGGTGTTGTGGGGTGGGGTGGTGTGTTGTGGACGAGGGGTGGTGTTGTGACGTGTGTGTGAAACGAGGGGTGGTGTTGTGGACGAGGGGGGTGCGAGGGGTGGTGTTGTGGACGAGGGGGTCGTGTTGTGAAAGAGGGGTGGTGTTGAAAGAGGGGTGGTGTTGTGGACTGGTGTTGTGGACGAGGGGTGGGCGAGGGGTGGTGTTGTGGACGAGGGGGTGGTGTGTGGACGAGGGGGGTGTTGTGGACGAGGGGGTGGTGGAAAGAGGGGTGGTGTTGTGGACGAGGGGGTTGGTGTTATGTTTGTGTGTGGACGAGGGGGTGGTGTGGTGTTGTGGACGAGGGGTGGTGTTGTGGACGAGGGGTGGTGTTGTGGGGTGGGGTGGTGTGTTGTGGACGAGGGGTGGTGTTGTGACGTGTGTGTGAAACGAGGGGTGGTGTTGTGGACGAGGGGGGTGCGAGGGGTGGTGTTGTGGACGAGGGGGTCGTGTTGTGAAAGAGGGGTGGTGTTGAAAGAGGGGTGGTGTTGTGGACTGGTGTTGTGGACGAGGGGTGGGCGAGGGGTGGTGTTGTGGACGAGGGGGTGGTGTGTGGACGAGGGGGGTGTTGTGGACGAGGGGGTGGTGGAAAGAGGGGTGGTGTTGTGGACGAGGGGGTTGGTGTTATGTCTGGTGGTGGTGGACAATAGCCGTAGTTGTTAATGGACTGTGGTGCTGGTAGTGTTATGGTTGAGTGATGGTGGTAAGATTACGGTTGGAAGTGGCTGCAAGGTACCAAAGTAATACCAGACCGACTACCTATTCTAGTGGTCAGCTTCTCAATCTAGCAAGACATATTTTACACAAACATCTCCCTGAAAACTTTTAACTTTCTGGTAATTTTAAAAGTGAATTTAGGAATTAAGTCTACCACTATGTGTGACCTCTTACGCATACAGGTACACTGCGCAAATACCACAGACCTGAAACCTATAATGTTGTCACCTATGTGTATAATGTTTTGTTGTACGTGTATAATGTTCTATCTCAATTATAATACTCTCCTACTATACCTGTTCTGTATTTTTTTTTCCAATTTCCATAAGATCACAAATTATAAGTCTTTTTGGTTCGAGTACATTTATTATACTTAAAACAACATTGTACTTTATAATACTCACATTATTATTATGTACAAAACCACAGAAATAAAACTATGAATAAAAAAAATCATCAATAACAACTGGCAACTTGAGGGATCATCATCATCAGTAGACAACCACAAGCTGTAGTGTGGCACCGTCTGTCAGCGCATGCGCGAGAGAGACACACACACACACACACACGCAGGAGGTAGACGGGGTTGGCGGGTTCCTCACTAACTCAGTAGCCTATTGACTCTTATGGCGGTGGTACTGCTGGCTTGTGAGCACTCGACTCCTCTCAGTGACAGTTCTCAGTAGAAACACACTCTCGCCAATCAGAACTAGTGAGAGTGACAGACGTGTGGTGATGATATAAATAATCCTTCAGTCCTATAATATATAATAATAAAGACAACGTTAAGTCATACTACTCATAAGGTAAGCTAAAATATCTCTACCTCCTAATCCTTCATATTTTATCAGGCAATGTGTTGAAGTTCACGTGGAAATCTATGTAATTAATGAGGTTGGTAAAGGTGGAGCGATATGAAGAGAGATACAGGGTGGTGGAAACGGGTTCAGGTCAGTGTGTGTAATACTTAAACACCACGTCAGTTTATACACAAGTGACAAATAATACCTTCACACCATACAGTATACCGTTCATCATAACACTACGGATGAGTCTAGAGCATCACGGACACCATCACAACACATACACCATCAAAAGAGTAGTGTCTAGTACGGATCTAAACACATCAACACACCTCAAGGAGACACCACACACACACAAACACACACATACACACACACACAAACACACACATACACGCTGTCACATATTTCCCTTTAAATTGATTAATCTAACACACGGCACATAGATGTTTGCGCCAAAGTACAATAGTTGGTTGAATGTTGTTGATTTATAGCCGATTCATGAAACTGTAGACAGAATTGGATTGTTTGTTAAATCTTACGACACAATCCAAGAACATACATTTCTTTCCTAGCTCACTATGCGCCATACAGCCCTTCATATGGGTTATCTAATGTGAGTTTCAAATACGACTGAGAGCAACACGTCACTGATCTTAACGCCAATATACTGTATAAGAACTCTGTATAATATAGTACAGGTATACCCCGTCAAAGGTGTTTTTGGTTATGAGAGTAAACGAATATGTGTTTGTTGTGTACCGAGTGTTATCCCTGTAGAGGAAATATTGGTATTACCGCTGTCAATAGTGGCACTCTACCAGTGTGTGTGTATGTGTGTGTCCAACCAAGGCGACGTGCATGGCTCACCGCCTCACCTGGCTCACCATCCCACCTGGCTCACCATCCCATCTGGTTCACTATCCCATCTGGCACACCATCCCATCTGGCACACCATCCCACCTGGCTCACCATCCCACCTGGCTCACCATCCCACCTGGCTCACCATCACCTTACACACACACAAACCAAGTTTATACAACCTGACTGAGCGTTGCAACATCATGTAACCTTGGCTTAGGTGAAGCTACGAACCCATAACCTTTGATGATGTGAGAAGCGATATAGGTGAAGCAAGATGACCAAACACACAGTGAGTCACCACGCCATAGGAAGATCATGTCGTCACTCACAAGGACAACAAAAACCCAAAACAAAAGCAAATATCAGGTGTACGCCGCAACAAGGAACATGGCACAAGATAAGTATTTGTCCTACTGAGGGTCACTAACTGTTTACGAGGAGGACGAGGAGGAAAAAATTATCTCCAGGCATTGTAAAGTGGATTACCTTGCAGCATACGACTGTGCCTCATGACCCACTCAGGTGTTGCAGGTGACTGGTGGTGACTGGTGACTGGTTGAAGTGGTAATTATAAAGAGTTACTTAGAGGCAGAGGACCATTAACAATACGGGGAAGATGGTATAGGAAGGTTAGGTAAACATTACACATAAGTTATCTGTTACTGTACCAATAGTTACCAATTATATTATATTCTTTTCTCGGAATTACAAGATGACACTTAGTAGCAAGAATGGTACTGAGGCTCTTATCCGGAATCTCACGGTCACCAAATACCTGTAGGGGCTGCCGAAGTGGTCACCGTCAGTAACATGTTCTATATAACTCAGAGCTACAAGAATCGGTTATAGCGACACACGTTATAAGTCTGAGATATACATGGCATTAACAATACCTCTAAAAATTCTACAATATTAACAGTAAATCCAAAAATTATTACTTGAAAACTGTTTTTTTTTTTTGGGAGGGGGGGGGTGATACTCTGGTACTAGATCTTATCCAAACAGGTCATCATAGTTCGTAACGACCCAATGAGGACGACCTATTACATGAGCGGAAAGTCGTTCTATATAACTTTGACCATACAGACGCCTACTGCCATTTCTAACCATTAACTCCTCAATAATAAGTACTTGATGATACAAACAATAGACCTTTATGAATCACACTTGTTTTATCCATAACTAAGGGGTAGTGAAGATACAATAAGCCTCATAATACCGAGACTGCCACTAATGGTAGCCTGATCCTCCTTAACATTATACATATGTTGTCATAATTATCAACAGTTTTAGCAGAAGAAAAAAAAAACATTTCTTACTAATATTATTTTTTGTGATATTATCTACACGTGAAGTTCGGTTTAAATTAGTTTTTATTTATTTCAGTTACCAATGATCACACACACACACACGCACAATGCACATGCACACACACACACACACACACACACACACACACACACACACGTGGATTAAGTACCTTATGCCCAAAAAGAATAAAATAGTAAACAAGAATAAAAAAAAAACCACAGGAAAACTCAAATATTTTAAACAACAAAAGAAAGATTAAATATCTAATACACAAAGCAGAGTCTTGAGGAACTAGAATAAAGATTTAATACATTTGTGAACAGACAACATGAGTTACTACAACAAAAAACATGACACCAACGAGACTCTACAACTACAATAAACTACAAACACTTAACCTCAGATTTAGACAGTCGATAGCTTTAACAACTAAACCTACGGATATTAATTAGTAAAAAGCACAAAAGAAACTATCAACAGGGAGATTGAGGAAAAACTGACGCGGCTACTACAGTATATTTTCCCCCTTCAGAGTTGAGGGGTAAATACTGTACACTAGATGATCCGTTCGCAGGGGTCTAAGGTAATGAAAGGTGGTGTGTGTGTGTGTGTGTGTGTGTGTGTGTGTGTGTGTGTGAGAGAAAGACCGACTTGACCCTCTTAAGTACATGCCAAGACTGCTGCTCGCCTGATACCTCGGGGCGTACGACCGACTACTTGGTGCACGCGTTATGTAGGCCACCACACTACCTCCCTCACCACACCTGTCTCTCACCACCCACACAAGTCACTACCCATTACCTTATATGAAACCATTGTGGTGCAGAGAGAGAGAGAGAGAGAGAGAGAGAGAGAGGGAGAGAGGAGAGAGAGAGACACCATCCTATGCCTCCCTGCAAAAAGCACAGATACACTTACACTCATATACACTTAAATGCCTGTTGTCACTCCTCTGTTGCTACTGCTGTCCCCACCAACACACGAATGTTCCCCCTAATTAGACGCACTTGATTTAGGGTACCACATAATTAGAAGCGGAGGGGGGAGAGGAGAGGAAGGGAGAGGATGGGAAGGGAGAGGAGAGGAAGGGAGAGGATGGGAAGGGAGAGGAGAGGAAGGGAGAGGATGGGATGGGAAGTGAGGAGAGAGGAAGACAGGAAAGGAAGATAGAGGGAGGGGAATGCTGTACAGTGGACTCATTACATAGTTGGTAGTAATGGCAATTTTCACCAGTGTGATTAACCAAAGCTGACACATTAATAAAAGCTCCCACATAATTAACAAAAGCTACCACATGACTAATAAGAGGGACCACATGACTAACAAAAGCTACCACATGACGAATAAAAGCTTTGGGTCATGTGAGGAAAAGCAGTCATTGGGTACACGAAAGCCGCGTAAATGAAAATTCTTAAGTTTCTTCTTGACTGGTGGAGGAAGATGTGGACTATACACACACACACTGATGACCGCTACACGCCTCCACATCAAGCTGGAGATAATTGGCCAGCCTGCGGTTATGACCAGATTACAGAGACACACTTAGAATTGTCACTTTGTCGATTATGTGGACACTAATCATTGTGTTTTGAGTCTTATTATTAAAGTCTGTTGAGGTCAGTGAAGTCGGATGGTAACAGGACCTGGGGGGCGACCTTCAGGGTTAAGAGAGCTGGCTTTTTCACCTAACCTAACCCAAACCCAACCTAAGCTAAGCTAACCTAACATAAGCTAACCTAGCATGACCTAACCCAACCTAAGCTAATCCAACAGTCACGTCAGAGTCCAGTGTATGTACTATGGGGTGACGAAGAAGGACGAAGACAAGAGTGGTGGTGAACTTGGCTACATGACGCAGCCAATTTTACCATGGGAAAAAAACAAAAGATAAATTGTCATGTGTAATTGAACACCTACAGTAAGTCCCACCCGTGTAATGGACGAACAGAGGTTAGGTTAGTTAGTTAGTTTTCATCGTAGTATCTGACTGACTGACTGACTTCAACTTTTTGTCTTCATTTTTCTTGACTAGTGAAGACTGCTGAACACGAAGTAGTAAAATCACCCTAATTAAACAAGACAGACATACATCAATTGGAGGTCAGATGTAATTACATATTCTGGTACATAGTAATTATAAAAAAGTCATTATTATAGAATGATCATTATACTGTACATGTAGCTTTACAAGTTTGATTTTTGTGTATTTTTTCTCAATAATTCTTTAAATAGCGTCTTTTACATATAGTCTATCTACATACAAGAAAAAAATGTCTACCAGTGATAAAAAATAGATGGTTTTAAATTAATGTGATCTAATGGATGGGGAATATTCATAATTCTTCTACTTAAGTGTCGTTTAAAAGCAGATTCGCCCACATCAACAACCTACACATTACAAAAATCATAATAAACTTGATGAACCAAAGTACTAAGACACGTTTGTGATACTATTGGTAACACTGTCAACCACAACCTCGGGAGAACCAATCAGGTGAGGGTGGGAAAGTTTGGTCGTTGGTAGCACTGTCTAACATGGCCTGAGGAACACCAATCAAGGAAGATAAAATAAGGTGTGACTACCACCCCTGGCCACCGTGTCCCCAGGGGAACCAAGTGACTCGTCCTTTGATCCTAAAATCAATATAGAACTTCATTAGTCTTAGTCATATTTCGCGGTAATCAGTAAATATGTACTGTATAGTGACCTTGATCTTTGTTCCTTTGATCACATCCTATATATTTAAAAGGTCTTTCCTCTACGGACAGTTATATTACCGTTTAACAAGTGAACAGATCTTGAGTTATCGTGCAGAAACATTTTTTTT